GTGAGAGGTCCTCGTCGGCACAATAATACTTGTGATGAGCATCATCGTAACTGTGCACCAACATTATTGTAGGAGGTCCCCGTCGACGCAAGAATACCTGTGAAAAGCACCAACGGTGGTGAGAGGTCCCCGTTGGCACAATAATGCCTGTGGTGAGCACCACCGTACCTGCAAACCAACATTACGGTAGGAGGTCCCCGTCGACGCAAGAATGTGACCAGCACCAATTGTGGTTAGAGTTCCCGGTTGCACAAAAAGCCTGTGATGAGCACTACCGCACCTGTGAACCAACATTGCGGTGGGAGGTCGGCGTCGGCACAAGAATACTTGCGACGAGCACCACCGTACTTGTGAAACAAAGTAGCGGCAAGAGGTCCCCGTGGCCCCGTCGGCACAAAAGTATTCGTGACGAGCACCGCCGTACCTGTGAATTAAAATGGCGTCTAGAGGTCCCCGTCGGCACAATAATACTTGTGACGAGCCCCACCGTACCTGTGATCCAATACTGTGGTCCTAATCTGCCAGGGCCCGTCCGGCCCCCTAAGCGCCTGGCGTGTTGCCGCCGTTCGTTCCTCTGGATGAAGCCCGCGCTGCGGCGACGAGCGTCTCCTGCTGTGCGCGGAATCGCGCGTCGACTCTGTGAACCACGACCAGGCACTTGAGGCAGCCTACTCTTGGCTAGAGGCGCAGAGGCAGCGTGTTTCGCCGCGCTCTCTGCCTCTCCCCAGGTCTCTGTCTGCAGGACCCCCCTCGGGTCCTGCAGCCTTTGGGTGCATGCTTCTTAGAAGCTGCACCACCTGGCTTGTCCATGGCAGCTCAGTGCTGTCTTTGGCACCGCGGTCGATGCCCACGGCAAAAAAAAACAGGCACATGAGGTGCGGCGACGACCGTCGCGGTCCACCAGTGGCGCTGTGGCCGGCCGCCGGGAGTTTGCCCGTGGCCGCGCGCGGCGGCGTGGAGTGGAGCTTCCCGTATTGCGACGCAGAGAGCGGCCCTGCAGCTATCGTTATGTCGGGCGTGTCCCCCTACAGGGGGATTTTCGACCGAAACTTAAAAATACCCCCAAAAATGCTCCCAAAAGGTAAAAAAAAAACAATTATCCTGGCGAAGGGCCCAACCATATGCAATTGTGAATACTGCAATTGTGAATATCTTCTCGGTGGAGCCCCCTACGGGGCCACGAAACGTACGAGGGGTGTGCCGAAATGGGTGTGCGGGACGCATGCGGGCACACCCACTGGGGCCTTCGGTGGAGCTCTCTATGGGGCCAAGAAACGTGTGAGGGGTGTGCCGAAATGGGTGTGCGGGACGCATGCGTAGGGCGACGAGATCTATGCATATCCACTGCTCCTGGCCAGGCCAATCCTGGGCCCAGGAGCGGTGTATACTCCCTCCTGGCCTGGCCAGGGAGGCATATATACAGCTCCTGGGCCCAGGATGGGCCTGGCCAGGAGCAGTGGATATGCATAGATCTCGTCGCCCTAATGCGGGCACACCCACTGGGACCTTCGGCGGAGCTCCCTATGGGGCCACGGAACGCGTGAGGGGCGTGCCGAAATGGGTGTGCGGGACGCATGCGGGCGCGGGCACTGGGGCCTTCGGTGGAGCTCCCTATGGAGCCACGAAACGTGTGAGGGGTGTGCCGAAATGGGTGTGGGTGACGCATGCGGGCGCGGGCACTGGGGCCTTCGGTGGAGCTCCCTATGGAGCCACGAAACGTGTGAGGGGTGTGCCGAAATGGGTGTGGTGACGCATGCGGGCGCGGGCACTGGGGCCTTCGGTGGAGCTCCCTATGGAGCCACGAAACGTGTGAGGGGTGTGCCGAAATGGGTGTGGGTGACGCATGCGGGCGCGGGCACTGGGGCCTTCGGTGGAGCTCCCTATGGAGCCACGAAACGTGTGAGGGGTGTGCCGAAATGGGTGTGGGTGACGCATGCGGGCGCGGGCACTGGGGCCTTCGGTGGAGCTCCCTATGGAGCCACGAAACGTGTGAGGGGTGTGCCGTGAAACGTGAACGCCATGACGCAGGCACTGGGGCCTTCGGCGGAGCTCCCTAGGGGCCACGAAACGTGTGAGGGGTGTGCCTGCGTGACGCATCTGGGGCCTTCGCGGAGCTCCCTATGGGGCCACGAAACGTGTGAGGGGTGTGCCGAAATGGGTGTGGGGACGCATGCGGCGCGGGCACTGGGGCCTTCGGTGGAGCTCCCTATGGGGCCACGAAACGTGTGAGGGGTGTGCCGAAATGGGTGTGCGTGACGCATGCGGGCGCGGGCGCTGGGGCCTTCGGTGGAGCTCCCTATGGAGCCACGAAACGTGTGAGGGGTGTGCCGAAATGGGTGTGCGTGACGCATGCGGGCGCGGGCACTGGGGCCTTCGGCGGAGCTCCCTATGGAGCCACGAAACGTGTGAGGGGTGTGCCGAATTGGGTGTGCGTGACGCATGCGGGCGCGGGTACTGGGGCCTTCGGTGGAGCTCCCTATGGGGCTACGAAGCGCTGTACTGGGTGGGTGAAACGCAGGGAAGGATGATGATGGCAGGAGGGAGGGGGCAGCGGGAGGAGGAGGAGGAGTGAACGCGGGGCGCTGTCTCTTCAAAACGAGGACCCAACACCACAGGATGGTTGGGAAAAAAATAGTCCCCGGACTATTTTTGGATTATTTTGGGGGTATTTTTTTTCCGTCGAAAATCCCCTTGTAGGGGGACATGCCCGATTTAAAGCTATCGTCTCCTGCCGTTGTCGGGGAGGGAGCGGCAGCAGCCGTGCGGGTTCCACTTGTCGTTGTGCTTTGGACATGCGCTTCGCCTCCGTGGCGCTGGCAGCGCTGTGCTTTCTTCCAGTGAGTTTCGTCCCCAATATTGTCAAGCTTGCGCAGGTGACGTCCGCGCGGACACCCCGCGCCTGCAGCTGCCGCCGCTTCCGCGGGTCACGGTGCGCCCACGGCTGTTAACCGTTGTTCTCCACCCTGCCCAAGGCTTGTGACCAGTCGTCCCGGATGGCCGCGGCGGCAAGCATACCTTCGAGAGCGCGAGACGTCCACGTACGGTCGTCGACGTACAGGGCTGTGCGGACCCCCGGCTCCCGCATGGCAACCTCACAGAGCGAACTTGCGAGCACGGCCGTAATGTTTGGAAGCTCTGGAGTCTTCGGGTGTGCGCCAAAGAGCCCAGGTACCCCCCCGTCCTTTCAAGCAAGATTTTGGACCCTGGGGGAGGGGGAACGGGGAGGGGGACAGCAGGTCATTTCACATGTTTTGTTCATCCCCGGCAAGCGGTGGTCGACATCGAATTATTACCGCGGTGCTATTTCGAGCAAGGATGGTGCAGACAGACACGACCAGGCGTCCATTCCTCCGTATGAGAGGTGCAAAACAGGGCGAGCCCTCAGCTCATTGCTCTTTAACTCGCTTCTCCAGTACATAATGGGACCGCTCGACGGTTTGTGGCAACAACTCAACCCAACTCAGCTTTTCACCTGGGTGCTACCTCGCGAATTTTCGTTTTGCCGACGACGTTCTCCTTGCGAGCCGGACTCTTCCGCGCCACCGCCACGCCACAATGCGCAAGGACGTGGCCGCAGCAGCTGAACAATGTTGACGCCGCGTTCGTTCAATCAAACATATATTTCCCAATTTGTTTGAACGGACGGGGCGGATACGACGTGGGGATCGAGATAGTACCATACAGTGGCTCTGTCACATACCTGGATCAACGCACCATTTTTGTTGACACGTTGTCCTCGGATGCGAAGCTCCGCTTGAGGGCAGGAGCAGCGTTCACCGTTCGCACACAAGAGTTGACAGGAAAATCCTACCCGATGTTCGACGGCGGTTCTCTATATACAGGAGCGTGGACACCGGATTACCGAACCTCCTAAGACAGTATCGAACACGCGCACGCCGACGCATGTTGCGCATGTCTATCGGCGCCCTTTGATGACGACGAGCCGTCGTGTTTGGGCCATCGTCCACAGCGACCAGCCCACAAGGGGCATATTCGACGTTGTTTTTTGCACTCGCGAATATATCGTGGATTGAGTATGTGTAGAGACCCACCATGCGACCGCCCACTTAAGCAAGGATGCCATGCACGCAGAGAACGCCACATCAGCCGGCAACATGAAATGATAGCCTGGGGACGAAGAGTTGGAATCATGTGTTGTGTGCGCCAAGCGGGCAACGAGACAAACAATTCTGCAGACGCACAAATAGCACGATTGGGTGGTTATGCTGGGAAACTGGTATGGAGATGCGCAGGTAGGTTTGCGAAAAAACTATACCTCAACAGTGGCCCTATTGTGTTGATAGTGTGTTATTGAGTCTTGAAGCTACCGACATCGGCATCGTGGAAGAGATGGGGCGTCGATATTATGATGTTTCGCTACCACTTCCGTCACACCAGTGGTATGGAACATCAGGCAGCGCGTTGTAACGAGGACCTCGATGACACCACTTGGCGACGATCGGCGACATTTGATAGGTGGGAGCATCAAGAACATGACTTCGTCATCTATGCGTCTTCCAGCACCCGAACGACACCAGCACCCTTGGTGGGCTGTTGATGCATTTGGCCGATCACCATAATCGTGATCATCATCACCCATGATTATTCATACAATCCCATCTCAATCCGTCATCACCCATCGCAGTCTCAATCCAACACCCAGTCATCATGACCCATGACCATCAGCTCCACCGCCCTCTTTTCTTCCTCCTCGCCGCTTCCCCGCCCTTCTCCGCCTGGCCTCGGAAGCCCGCGCACCGCGCGGCGCGCCCGCCTCCCCGTTCGCGTCGCCCCCCGGGGCGGCGGCAAACTCTTTCGCTCGCTCCTCCTCTTCCTCCTCCCCCTCCTCCTCCTCCTCTTCCTCCTTCTCCTCCTCCTCCTCCTCTTCCTCCTCCTCCTCCTCTTCCTCCTCCCCCTCCTCCTCCTCCTCCTCTTCTGTGCAACTCGTGCGGCTCCCCTCTCCCGGCACCGGCCGCTCCGCGCGCCGGCGTGCGCCTCAGGCCGTCGTGCAGGAGGCCCGCCGGAGGGTGGCGCTCGTCTTCGAGGCCGCCGCCCGACCCGTCCATCCTCGTTCGTCTTCCTCCTCCGTCGCCGTCGCTGTCGGCCTCGGAGCTCGCCTCGAACGCGGCCAGCCCTCCTCCGGCCTCGAGGTTCGAGATTCACGTGCCGAGGACAGATGTTTTTGGGCGTTCTTGATTTTTGTCGGCGCCTCGGAGGCCCCCAGGGGACTTGGGATTTCCGGGGGCCAAGCGGGGGACAGGGGGCAGCTCCAATGCAGTCACGGGGGTTGTGGATCGCTCGTCCTCCTCCTCCTCCTCCTCCTCCTCCTCCTCCTCCTCCTCCTCCTCCTCCTCCTCCTCCTCCTCCTCCTCCTCCCCCTTCTCATTTTCCTTCTCCTTCTGCCCCCTCCTCCATGCTCTGTGCTCCTTCTCCCCGTCTTCCTTCTCCCAACTCCTCCCGGTTCCTGCTGGCACGAATGTCTGCAGACGTTGCAGTCCCCCCACAGGGCCGGTCGGCCCTGGGGGGGGGTGATCAAATTAGTTTGCCAGGTGTCCCGAATGAGTCACCGGCGGCGGCTGAAATATGTGATACAAGGGAGCGGCATTCAGAGAGGAGGGAAGAATGCATAGAGGGAGGCACACATCATGGAATGAAGTGAACAGGTGCGCGAGGGCCAAGCGAAGCGATTGTGTTGGCGGGCCTGGCGCTGGACATTGCCCTCGTCGAGGATATTGGTGCACCCCCTGCCTCCACTGCTACCGACAACTCAATCAACACCTTCAAGCAGTTGCGAAGCGTCCTGGCTCGCCTATAGGCCTACCAAACAATGTTCGAAGAACCTTTCGTGGTTTCCACGAAATGTTCTTAGAACATTTCTGGCTGGGGATGTCTTGTTTTGACACATTGGGTTTACGTTCTAAGAGCGCTGCTTTTGTTCTTAGAACATTTGGGGTTCTAATTCAGGACATATTGTGGTAGGCCTATAGGAATGCCGGGACGGTCGGCCCCTGCTCAACACACGCGCGTGGTGAAAGAGGCTTTGGGCGGCCGTGCGCAGCCTGGACCGGCCAGGAGCCCTGGGGTTTGGCTGTGCAGCCCCGGCCTCCGTCTTTTCTCGGTGCGTTTTGTAGTCCTGATTTCAAGTCGGGCCTGTCACCCTACAGGAGGAATATTTAAGAATAGTAAAAAAATAGCATGGGGACGATTCTTGAACTATATTTGAACATTTTGGAGGCATTTTTAGTATATCTTTCATTTTTCGCCCAAAATCCCCCTGTAGGGGGACAGGCCCGACCTAATCCTGGTTGGGTTCAGCACGCACACTCTGCTGCCTGGAGTGCGTTGGGGAAGAGACGAGGGAGGAGGCACGAAAAGCTGAGGGTGGTAGTGAGAATGAGGGGCGGGGAAAAAAGGTCGTCGCGGTCGGAGCAGTTTGGCTTCGCGGTGCAGAAGCTGTGGTGGCTGAGGTGGCTGGCCAGTGGGCGTGAGTTGCAGGCTTGCTTCAAAGCTCCCGCCAGCGGTGCCGTTCGCACTGGCGCTAGGGGCTTGCGAGCTGAGTGGTTGAGCACCTGCGGTCGGGCATGCCTCCCCCCACGTTGCTCCACGCCCCCCGAGTCCCGAATCCTGCGGTCAGCGGCGCGGGTGAGGCGGGCCAGGGCCGCCCAGGGTGAGTGAGGGATGGGATGCAAGAGCGAGGGAAAGGAGGGGCTGAGTGCGGCTGCCAGCGGTGGCGTTCTCGTTGGCTAAACGTCGGTTGGCGGCCCGTCGGCGGTGGCGTTCTCGCTGGGCACGGCACTATGGAAACTGGCCGTGAAGGTAATCACCGACAGCTTACACTTGCCCACCCCGGCCCCGAGTCCCGATCCCTCTCGGTCAGCGGCGCGATGGGCGAGGGGAGCGATAGTGGGGGGAGGATAACTATGCAGGCGACGCGGGGGAGAGGGATGCAAAGCCCATCATTGGGCGCTGAGGCACGTTTGCTGTGTGTGTGTGGTGTGTCTGTGTCTGTGTCTGTGTCTGTGTCTGTGTCTGTGTCTGTGTCTGTGTCTGTGTCTGTGTCTGTGTCTGTGTGCGTGCGTGTGCGTGTGCGTGTGCGTGTGCGTGCGCGTGCGCGTGTGCGTGTGCGTGCGCGTGTACGTGTGCGTGCGCGTGCGCGTGTGCGTGTGCGTGTGCGTGTGCGTGTGCGTGTGCGTGTGCGTGTGGGTGTGGGTGTGGATGTGGGTGTGGGTGTGGGTGTGGGTGTTTTTTGGAAGGCCGGACAGAAGGGGTGCGCAGTTGTCTTCAAGCGCGGCGAGGCGAGCGAGCGTGCCTTCGCGCCCCTGCCGGTGGCGGGTGGAAGCGTGAGAAGCGGGCGCGGCGCGGTGGTCTTCACACCCGGGCTTGTTGTCTTCGGCCTGGCGACTGTATTTTTGTAGGGTCCAGCGATACCCCGGGTTATCGGGCTTGCCCCCCTCCACACCCCACCCCAGGATAACCTAAGCTTGCCGGTTGTGCAGGTCCGGGGTGGGGGGGCGCGGGCATATGCAGGGCTGCCCACAGCGCGAAGGTTAGGTTATCGGCTGGCCCCCTCCTCCCCCCCCCGGGATAACCAGGGTTATCGCCGACTCGACAAAAAACGGTCTTTTGTGTTTGCCAGGTGGGTGGGCGGTGGGCGGTCACTCAGGAGTGCAAGCCTCGGGCTGTTGTTCATACCAGTGGCGGCTCACCAGCGGTGTACAGTATGGGATGGCCACGGCAGCTGTGCGGCATGCGTGCGTTCAAGGGCGTTACTCTTCAAGGAGTGCTCATCACAATACCACTGGATCGCCTGTTCCACTACACGTTGCCATGCATGTGGTCCACAGCTTCCCGGGGAGACTCGACCTTTTTGTAGGTGACCTCAGCCTTGTCGTCGGTTGTCTTGATAGCGGTCATCGGGCCGAAGAGGGAAAAGGTGGCTTGGACGCTGGAGATGTCCAGCTCCCCACCGCACGTGATGTGCATCGTGGCTGCGACGCAGTGGCTTCTGTCGCCAGCGTAGTTGGCCCTGGCGCTGGCGTCGGCGCTGGGCTCGAGGCTGCCGCTGGCGTCGGCGGCGGTGTTGGCGCCGGCGTTGGCATCGGTCTTGGCGTCGGCGAGCGGTCCCGGCAGCCTCTTCGGGCGCAGCCTCGGGCAGGCCCTCGCCCGCGGCACCGTCTGCCGCTGCTCCCCCAGGAGCTCTCGCTGGCACGGCCCCCGCGGGCGCGCCCTCCTCGGCGGTCGCAGCCGCTGCTCCCCCGGGAGCTCTTGCCGGCACTGGCCCCGTGGGCGTGGTCACGGCGGCGGCAGCAGCAGCTGCTCCTCCTTAGGAGCTCTCGCCAGTACTGGCCCCCGTGGGCGTACTTACTCACGGCGGTCGCAGCGGCTGCTCCCTCATGGCCTCTAGCAGGGCCTCTAGCAAGGCCGCAGGCATCGGCGTTGGTGTCGGCCTCGTTGCTGGCGCAGGTGCGGGGGTCAGCGCAGTGGTCTCGGCGAGGGCGAGCGGCGGCGCGACGGACCGCTGTCTGGGCCTTGTCCTCGACCTGGGTGTCCGTCGGGTACGCTGCCGTGGGGTACCCACTCGGTGGCTGCCGGCCGCCTGGGGGGTACTTCATGTAGTGGCCGTGGTATTCCGTGTAGCGTGGTAGTGGTTCGTGTAGTCGTGGTTGTTGTGCTTCATGGCGCGCTTGTTGTTCCAGGTCCTGAGGGCTCCTGGATGACGATGTACTTGGTGCCCAGCGCCTGCGGCGAGCTGCTCGCCAGGCCGCTGTGGGTCCCATCGCAGCAATCTCCTGAGCCCAGAGATAGGGCCGCCACGCTTCAGGTGGCGACGGCGGCGGCGGCGGCGGTGCGCTGACGAGCACATCTACGCGAAAGAGGCGGCGGGCTCGGCACCTGGCCATGCAGGCTCGGCCGAGGGCGACCAGGGTGGCGGCAAGAAGGCGAGGGGGCAGGGGCGGCCGCGAGCGCGGCCTGCGTCGCTTCGCCCGCCTTGACGAGGCCTGCCTCGGTCTTCGCCAGGACCGCGAAGGAGGACGGGCGGATGATGGTCTGCCCGACGCTCCTCCAGCATGCTGCGGCGATGGTGACTATGAGGGGGGCGCGGGCATCCTCAAGGCTTTGCGCAGGGCCAAGGAGGAGCGCCGCGCCCTCCCCTCAGGGCAACGAGCGCGCCTCCCGGCAGGGTGCTCCGCGACCTGCCTGAGAAAACTCAGGGGGTTGCGCCGTCTTTCCCCGCTGGCGCTGGGCATGTACATTGGGAGCTCCGTCCTGATCCCCAGGAGTATCGCCAACGTGACGTGCTCCCGATACTTCCTCGGCATTCTTCAATCCGATCTCCCAGCGCTCGACAGAGTAACTCGGCACTCACACGGTCTGCAGAGCGGAAGCTTCGTCGTCGCCGACTCCGGGAAGACACCGTCGATGAGCTGATTGGCGTGCTCAATGGCAAGTGTTGGGGCTGAGGGGGCGCGCTGGTTGTGGGAGAGGATTAGGGAAACAAGCAATGACATAAACATAAAAACTCTGAGGTCCGCGCGGATTTCTTGGATCGGCGCTGGACCCCCCTCCTTGGCGCGCTCAGCGCGCCAGGGGCGGCTTCGGAGGCGCCGTCAGGGGGGTCCAGCACGGATCCGAGAAATCCGCGCGGACCTCCGAGTTTTTCCCCAATCAGAGCTTGCCTCTGTAGGGGTCCTGGGCGGAGACCATTTTTTGTCAAAGCAGTAACACGTCACAGTAGGATCAGGAATTAAGCGTGATGCATGAGGGGTAGGAGGCAAAGGGCGGAGAAGGAACGGTTGCAGCAAGCAGCGCTCTATTTTCAGCACAGGAGGGTTGGGAAAAGCACGGCGTCGTAGTTCTGAGTCCTCTTCCGCGCCGTCTTAGAGACCGTCATTCTGGTCTCCCCTCCTCTCCCGCCCCCGTTTTCCTTCTTCTCTCCCCTGTCTTCCTCTGCCTCCTTGCCCTGTCCACTCCCGCAGAGGGGGGACGGGGGGGATGACAGGAAGGAGGGGGATGTAGATGAGGAGGAGGAGGACGAGGAGGAGGAGGAGGAGGAGGGCCCCCGGAGGTCCCCATAAAGTTGAGAAAAGAAGGCCCACAGAGGCGCCCGAGAGAGCGCGCGCGCCGCCCGAGACGGCTCCGCAGATGGCCCCACCCCAGGAGGCTCCCAGAAGCGCACGAGAGGCCCTGCAAGGCTACCAAGCTAGGCCCCAGGACGCCCCACGAGACCCTCGAGATGGCCCCAGAGCTCGCGAGACCCCAAAAGGCTCCGAGAGGGCCCCAAGAGCCCTCCAAGAGAGGCCCCAAGAGGCCCCCAGGAAGGGTTCCAAGACGCTCCAGGAGGCCATCAAATCGGCTCTTCCTCTTCCCATTGTCTCCATCCTACCTCGTCATTCTTATTGTTTCTCTCTGCGTAGTTATATCCCGCTTCCCAGTTCTCTCGTTTTCCATCTTTGTCTCCCTGTTTACCGCTTTCTTTCGGTGGCCCCGTGTTTTTGATTTCCGAGTGTTGAAAATGTTGTGTTTCTATGTTTTCTTTGCCTCGCAAACAATGATTCAAGCACAGCCATGCCCGCAGTTGTCCTTAATTGTTTGTTGTTTTTTCTTATCTTGGTTTCTTCCCGTATCCCTCACCAGAGGAATCGTGTTCTAAGACCAGTACATCTGGAATATGTTTCGTAACGCCGCCACTCAAGGACATCTTTTCGCAAGACCGCCACGAAGGGAATCCTTGTGCAGGGCCGCCACCACAGGACATTTGATGCAAGGCCGCCAACCAAGGAAATCCTTTTTCTGAGGTCGCATAAAAGGCAGCAAAAAAGGAATCCGAATGCAAGGCCGCCATAGATGAAACCCGGTTGTACAGTGAGCGGCTTGAATAAGGAACATTTATTTTTCAAAATGGGTTCGGTCGTTCCTTAGGCTTGCATGCGTTATTGATCGTTCCTTATACGTGATTTATTATGTATCGCTCCTTCTACGTCACTCCTGGGAAAAAAAGGGGCTTCATTCCTTCTTTATCGTTCCTTAAGTCAGGCCGATGACTGTCAGAACACAACAACGGACACATATTATGAGGCAAGCCGCAAGGACATCCCTCTTGTGAGGCCGCCGCACAGGGAATCTGTTTGTGAGGCCGCAGCCCTGCGTCGTACATTGTTTTTACGTAGCGTCCGACACCCAAAGCACAGAAAATTATAACGCGTAGTGCTGAACACATTGTGGTGTACCATGTTTTGATCAATGTGCGAGATCAGTTGCCTAGTGACGCACAGCGTTGTACAGTGAGCGGCTTGGATAAGGAGCACTTACTTTTCAAAAGTGGTTCGGTCGTGTCTTGGGCTTGCATGCCTTATGTATCGCTCATTATGCAGCTTCGTTCCTTATTCATCACTCCTTAGGTCAGACCGATGACTGTAATACCTCAGAGTGTTGACATCGATGTGTTCCCACATATGTTCTTAGCCTCCCATATCAAAACGAGTCCAAACACATTATTGTTCATTGGTTTCATTGATGCTGTGTTGTGTGTAGTTATTCCTTTTGTTTCCTGGTAAATATTCGAAGAAGACAACGTTTTGTAAGGCCGCTACAAAGGGAATAGTTTTATAACGCTGCCATGCAAGGACGTTTGTGCACGGCCGCCACAGGGAATTTCTTTGCGAGGCCGCCACGAAAAGAAGTTTGTTGTACAGCTGCCACAAAGGGCATCGCTTGTACAGCCGACACGCAGTGAATCATTTTGTGAGACCACCATACAAGGATTGTGATTGCAAGGGCGCCACGAGGAGGAGCGACGACGACGACGTGGACGAGCGAGAACGAGTGGCAGAGCAATCGGAAGAGTACTTGCATGGTCGTTAGGAAGCGAACTGGAACATCGCATGCTTCGGGGCACCTGGACAGGGACCCTCACCGCGCCCCCCCTCCGCCCTCCCCCCGCTCCCCCTCCTCCGCGGCTGGGCGCCCTCTTTCAATGGAGGAAAAACCACCCGGACCGGACAATCGGCGTTTTCTGAACGGCCCTGAGCGTTTACGAAACAGCCTTGCCTTGTTTGATTCTTCCTCTGGGCGCGTTTCCTCAACGGCTTCGCGCGTCGGGGTGGTGATTACGGAGGTGGATTGTTTGACTCCTGCTCTGGCTCTCCTCGAGCACATTCGACCGATGCGCGAGGTAGAGGATCTTTAACATCTTCTCGGGGGTGAACGCCCAGGGGGGTTCTTGGAAGGGCGAAATCAGATTGCGCCGCGGCGCCGTATTTATGTGGAATTCTCGAACCACCTCTTGGGGCCCAGCTCGACTCCTGCTCCTCGAGCACACTCGACCGATCGCCGCGGCGCCACGTGGCTTCCTCCGCCCTCGCTGCCGCGAGGGCCCCCCTGGGGCTCGGGCGGTCGTCGGCGGACCCGCCTCGCCGGCCCCCGGCCTCGCCGGCCCCTGGGGCCCGCCTGGCACCGGGGCTTGCGCCGCCCTCGGTTTGGAGGGGAGGGGCGTGCACACGAACCCTGTGCCCAGGGATGGGTTCCTCCTCCTCCTCCTCCTCCTCCTCCTCCTCCTCCTCCTCCTCCTCCTCCTCCTCCTCTGGGCCCCTCCTCCTCCTCCGGGCTCGGCCTGGATCGGCGAGGTGGCCAGCCGACGCCCCCCGATCGTCGGGGATGGGGAAGGAGTAAACCCGTGCCACGAAGCACCCTGCTTGCCTCCAGGGTGCCCTTGGTTTTTCTTGGGTGTCGATGGTTTTGCTCTGGAGTGCGTGACGATCCCACACCAGAAATCAATGGATGGACGTCCTGGTGTCTCAGGGTTGGGTTTCTTGCGGAAGATGTCTTGTGGTCGAGCTCCTGCTGTATCAGTGGCACGCTGCCGTTGGCAGCCCGTCGGCGTGTGCCCCCCCCTCTCCCCTCGTCTTTGTCCGAAGGTCTGGCGCTCTTCTTTGACAGGAGCGCGCTGACGGATTCTCCACGGCGGCGTGCCATCGATGCAGTCGAACCGAGGTACAATGTCGAGGTCGGTTCGGGGAGGGCACCCCAACGTTCTTCGTGCTTGTCAGATGCTATTGTGCATCTTGGGGAGGGCACCTTGGGATGCTTGTGTTTTTTGGTTGGCCCGTGGAGGGTCTCGTCTCATGTTTTTGAAGAATGTTCTTGTGTCTTAGGTCCGGCATCAAATCAACGCGCCTAGTAAGGACGCGCGCCTTCATCTGGGGTGCGTACCCTTGTGTCCTTGCCTCTGCGACCCGTCCTTTGCCGTTTTCACTGGTCGCCCGCCGCCCTAAAAGATCACAACTTCGGCCTCCAAGGGCTTTGCGCCCTCACCACCCGTCCTTGATGCGGTCGGGCCGAGGTCTGAGATCGAGGTCGGTTCGGGGAAGGTACACTGATGGTCTTCGTGCCTGTTGGACGTTCTTGTGCGTCCCAGGGTCGGGCACCCTCGGAGGCTCTTCTGTTCTGCCGGCGGAGGGCCCCGTGTCTTTGAAGGATGTTCTCCTGTCGCAGGTCCGACTGTCTGTACACGTCTTGATTGTACAGTCAACCCGCATAGCACCGAGGGCACCCTTGCATCCTTGCCCCTTCGGCCCACCCTCAGCGACTTTCGCTGGCCAGCCTCGCTCGAACAACGTCATCATGGGCCTCCAAGGCCCTTGCATCCTCACCGCGCATCCTTAGGACACGGGTTGGCTGCACTGCTGCTGCTCCCCCGCGGTGCGCCGCGCCGCGCCGCGAGGGGCGCCGCGCCCCCCACCGAGCGCAGGCGTGGGCGGCGCTGCTGCGGCCGCCCCTCGGGGCCGACGGCGAGGTGCGCCCCGCCTCCGCAGCCGTGGCGCGCGCGGGCAAACGGCGGCTCCCATGAGCCAAGGTTTTTTTTGGTCGGCGGCGAGCGAGGCTGCTCCTCCTCCCCCTCCTCCTCCTCCGCCTCCCCCTCCTCCCCCCCTCCCCCCCCACCTTCTCCTCGTCCAGGTGAGAAGGGGCGGGCCTCCTCAGAAGGCTCTGAAGTCCCCCTGGCCTTCTGAGAAGTGTTCTAAGCTTTCCCCGAAGACACAGAAAGCCTCTTAGAAGGCGCGAAGGCTTCTGAGAAGCTCCGCCGCCTTCCGAGAAGGCCTTTTCCTTCTCACTCCCCCCCTCGCTCGCCGCCGAGCGCGTTCTACTACTCGCAAGTGCTGACTCGCAAACGTCAGGAAAACACATGCTCACCTCGACGTAATGGATCGTATATCTCCCACGGCGGATCCAGGGCATTTGCGAGCAGTTATTCTGCGAGTCGTGAAACGCGCTTGTCTGGTTTTTGAGTGCTTCCCACGAGCCAGGCAGCCAGGAAGACCCCCACCTCGTCGCGTCGTGAAGAGATCGCGCCAGCAGGTTGTTCTTGGCAGCTCTCGGCCTCTGGGGGCCCTTCTCGGGCGGGCCCCCAGGTCGTCCACAACGGCCCGGGGTGAACCGCCGGTTCCGGGGACGGGGTCCAGATATTTGGGGGTCGACGTTGCGAACAACGACACGACGTCGGAGTTGGGGGAGGAGGACATTTTTTTTGTTCCTTTCGCTGCGGGGTGAATCTCGGAGTCGGAGTAAGAGCAGGAGGAGGAGGAGGAGGAGGAGGACGACGACGACGACGAGTAGGAGGATGAGCGAGAGGACGAGGAGGAGGAGGAGGTGGACAAGGAGGAGGAGGAGGAGGAGGAGGAAGAGGAGGAGGAGGAGGAGGGGAGGAGGGGGAGGAAGGGGTGAAGAGAGGCGAGTGGGGAGGGGAGTGACTGATGCTCGCGCTGGGCATGCGAGCCTGTGCACCACTTCTTGCTCGCACGAAGTTTAGGGCTGATATGCTTTCTGTAGCTCCCTTCCTCCTTATCCGTCTTCCTCGAATTACTATTGACGCTTCGCGTATCCCCACCAGATGGGAGCGGCCCTGCATTGAGTGGTTCAGCCTTCTGCAGTTCGTGGTCGTTCCCCCGGCAGAGCAGACTGCAATCAGCTCACGTCAGTACTTTGCATCGTTTTGCCCCCGAACTGCGCGAGTCGGATACGATGTGCACGCACTGGCATTGGCTGGAGGTGGCTCAGCCTCGTGAACGCACCCCAGTGGTTTTCCTACTGCTTTGCGTTTAGTCGCGGATCAGCTACACTTCAGATTCAGTGAGCCTTGATGAGTCAGGCCTCGTTCGCCGCACCATCCTTGACTCGGGGTGCCGCAGTGAGCCTGTGGTAGTCGCTCGCTTTCGCTCTCTTCTTCCCCCCCCCGCCTCCTGGCCTCACCGAGTGTGGTTCGGCTGGAGCTCGGCGCCGAAAGGGCGACTTCTCCCTCCCGTTCCACCGCCGGTCGCCGCGCCTGCGTCCCCACCTGTTTGGATGTGTGGGCCGGGCTCCTGCCGACGCAGCTTGCGTCTTAATGAGGGTCATTTTGTCCCTTGCGCGTGCATTCGCCTCGGTGGCCAATTTACATCGTCACGCGCCCTGGACGTTGTGTTTGCTCCCTGTCATCCGCCTTGGAACCGCGAGCCAAAATTACTCGACGCGGGGCTCCCCATATGTGCATCTCATTCTCTTGGTGCGTCTTTCTATTGATATCTGTCAATGAGCGCCTGTGTGTGTGAGGGCGAACCGCTCGCTCGAGACATTCCCACAATCTGCAAGCATGAGTGCGACCAATAGCAAATCTGAGAGCGACTGATTCTGAGTGTGAGCTAATCTGGGTGCGATTGAGCCTGGGTTTGATTGGGTATGCGTGTGCGTAAATATGAGCGCGAGTGCGTCTGTGTGCGAGTGGGTCGGAGTATGGACGAATCTGAGTGTGAGCCAGTCTGTGATTGAGCGGATCGTAGCATGATGAGTCTGAGCATGAGCGAATCTGGGTTTGAGTGGGTCTGAGTGTGAGAAAAAAATGTGTTAATGAATCTGAGTGCGAGCGAGCCGAGTGTGATTGGGTATGGATGTGAGGCAGTCTGAGTGTGAGTCGGTCTGCGTTTGAGCGGACCGAAGGATGATGAGTCTGAGCAGGAGCGAGTCTGAGTATGAGTGGTTCTGAGCGTGAGTCTGAGTGTGAGTAAGTTTAAATATGGATATGAGCCAGTTTAAGTGCGAGTGAGCCTGCGTGTGACTAAGTCTGAGTATGAGTGAGTACGAATGCAGAACAGTGAAGGAGAGCGGAGAGCGAAGGAGAGTGAGGCGGAAGCGTTTGAGTAAAACTTAAAGCCTTGGAACATCGAACCTCGATCGTCTGGCCCCGGCTACTCGAGTTGCCCACGTTCTCCTCCTCCTCCTTTTCCTCCTCCTCTTCATTATCATCATCATCATTATCATCATCATCATCATCATCATCATCATCATCATCATCATCATCATCATCATCATCCCCTTCCTGCTTCTGCTCCTACCGTGTTCATGCTGTCCTCCTTCTCCTCCTCCTCCTCGTCCTCTTCCTCCTCCTCCTCGCTTCCTCCTTCTCTTCCTCCTCCTCCTCCTCCTCCTCCTCTTCCTCCTCCTCCTCCTCCTCCCCCTCCTCCTTGGAAGTGCGGAAACCAGCAAATCGCCTGAGACATCCTCCCACAACTGCTCCGAACGACAGATGCCAGGCATCATAACGGCCAAACCGCCTGAGACATCCCCGCAAACTGGCCGCGAACGTCCTCCAAATCTGCTCCGAAAGCGAAACATGCTGGAAGAGAAAATGACCAAGCCGCCTGAGACATCCCCACACAATCCCGCGAAAGGGGCCGATGGGAATACCCCCCCGCCGCTTCCCTTAGAGTGCTGAAACCAGCGAATCGCTTGAGATATCCCCCAAATCTGCTCCGAGAACGAAACATGTTGGAAGAGAAAATGACCAAACCGCCTGAGACATCCCCACAACATCCCGCGAAAGGGGCCGAGGGAAATACCCCGCCGCCACTCCCCTTAGAGTGTTGAAACCAGCGAATCGCCTGAGACATCTTCCAAATCTGCTCCGACAGCGAAACATGTTGGAAGAGAAACTGGCCAAACCGCTGGAGACATCTCACAAAATCCCGCGAAAGGGGCCGAGGGAAATACCCCCCCGCCGCTCCCCTTAGGAGTGCTGAAACCAACGAATCGCCTGAGACATCCTCCAAATCTGCTCCGGAAGCGAAACATGTTGGACGAGAAACTGGCCAAACCGCTGGAGACATCCCCACAAAATCCCGCGAAAGGGGCCGAGGGAAATACCCCCCCGCCGCTCCCCTTAGGAGTGCTGAAACCATAGAATCGCCTGACACATCCTCAACATCAGTGCGTGTGAGTCATCCGATGAGTGGACCTGAATGAGTGTAGTGAATGTATGAGTACAAGTACGAGTGAGTCTGAGTGATGAGTGAGCTTGAGTGATGAGTGAGTCTGAGTGGTGAGTGAATCGGAGAGATGAGTCTGAGTCATGCCTGAGTCCGAGTGATGAGTGAGTCTGAGTGATGAGTGAGTATGAGTGATGAGTGGGTCTGAGTGATGAGTGAGTCTGAGTGACTGAGTGAGTCTGAGTGATGAGTGAGTCTGCGTGTTGAGTGAGTCTGAGTGGGTCTGAGTGAGAGGAATGGTTTGTTTTCGTCTGTGTTCTCCTCCGGCGCGGCCCGCCAATAACAAGAACCCCATACTAAGGATATGGGGAAAAATATCCCCACCATATCGCATTTTGCTCAGTGCGTGTGCATACCTCGCATTCTTTGCGAATTAGCCCTGTACCGTGCCCCGGACGCCGCTTCCGCTCCCTGTCCGTTGCCTCGGAGCCGCCGACCAAAAAAGTATCCCCACCAGCCCATCCAGAAACGATGTTTATGAGAGCTGACGGGGGGGAGAGCGGAAGAGGCACGCATAGTCGAACAGCGAGGGAGGCTTTGGAGGCTCCGTGGTGATCTCGAGTCGTCTTGGAGCGGTCTTGGGGCCGCTTGGAACATCTTGGGAGTCATCTTGAGCCAGCTTGGGCTATCTGGGCCATCTTGGAGGTCATCTTGGGCTCGCTGAGGCCGCTCGGGGGCCTCTTGGGGGCCTCTCGGGTGCCTCTTGGAGGCCTCTTGGGACTTTTGGGCGCTCTCTGGGCCCTCTTGGGGCTCTCTTGGGAACCCTGGAGGCCCTCTTGGGGCCATCTTGGAGGCTATCGATCAAAAATCGTGAGGGGTGGCAAAACATTGCCCTCCAAGGGACCGAAAAAGGACGCTCTAACTCGTCGCGACCCTCTCCAGAAAAACTTCAGGGAGGGGAGGGAGAGGGTTCCCCTCCCCGAAGGGAAGAGGGGTTGCGGAAGAGAAAAGAGACCCTCATTAGACCACCTGTCGCCCACAGGGCTGGTGGGATTCATCCCCTCGTGCTGCTGACGGTGATGATGTTGTCGCTGCTGCTGCTCGTCGTCCTCGTCTTTTCCCTCGTCCCCGTTATCCTTATGTTCCACTTCGTCCCTCGTCCCTTTCCTCCTCGTTCTTCCCCTATGGCTGTAATGACATTGCTCGCCCTTCTGGTCGTCATCTTCTTCATGCTTCTGTTCGCGATCCACTTTTCCCTGCTCCTCGTCACCCTAGGATTCGTGCCAATGCACTTCCTTCCCCTGTTCTTCCATCTTCCCTATTGCTACGTACCTCTGATCACTTTATATTCCTCCCTCTCTATCTCTATCAGACCGTCTCTCCCGATGGGAGGCCTGACTTGATCTTCAAACGGCTCGTCATTGGCGCTGCTCACTGAACCATTCCCGTGTATCCCTACATCCGTAAGGGCTTCGCCCCCTGCCGTCGGCCCCCTCTCTCGGAGAATGGGCCATGGAAGAGCTAAGTCATGAGGCTTTGGCGCTGTCGTGCAGCAGTATCGGAACTTCATGCGAGGCCGATTCGCAATCGGCAAAACCAACTGATCACAAGAGGGGTTACCACACAGGGCGATTGGTAAGACGTGTATGGTTTACGAGCTTGGTTACCACACCTTGGGATTAAAGGGCCGAGGGAGTACTCGCAGTTTGGGTTACCACGCCTTGCGATGGATGTGCGTGAGGGGTGGCACCGAATTTCAGAAATGTGGCAAATCCCCTGTGTTTTTGGACCCTGACCCCGCGGATCTGCGTGAGGGGTGCCCCCAGCAATTCAGACAACGCGCCCAGGGGGTGCTAAAAATCCCGTTTGGGCCTCCCCCCCCCTCGCGCGGTCAATCAACCAGTTACAGTAACCAGCAAGAAGCAGAACTGTAACACTGGAAACTACAACCTACGACTGGTACAGGAAACTGCGAACCTCGCGCCTACAGCCTGGTGGCCCCACAAGGGGGCTGGCGGATTTTCTCTCCCCCGATCGCTCTCTCTCTCTCTCTCGCTCTCCCTCCCCCTTTCCCCTTCCCCCCTTCCCCCTTCCCACTCGCCCTTCCCTCGCGAGGGCGCCGCGACCATGTGCCCCAAGAGCCGGCAGCTGCCCCGAAGCGGCGAGAAGCAGCCTGGGACCCGCGGGTCTGGGGGGCGGAGCTGGGGGACAGCATGCTTCGATGCTCGTCTTGGGGACCTTCCTGGGGCCGACCTAACGGATCTGTTCGACTCAGGCTCGACGCAGTTTCGACGCAGCTTCGACGCAGCCTCGACGAAGCCTCGACGCTGCTTCGACGCTGCTTCGACGCTGCTTCGACGCTGCTTCGACGCAGCTTCGACGCACGAGAAGAGCGAGTGGCTCCAGGAAGGTCCCCAGAATGAGCATCTGAGCATGCCCAGACGCTGTCCTCCTCCCACTGCCCTCGATGCTGCCGCATTTGATCTGGCTGCTGCCGAACACATGGAAGGGCACGGGCGAATGCGCGCGGGCAGCGGATGTTGTTGCGCTCTGCCAGGCGTGATTGGTTGGTCGGAAAGAGCTCTTTCTGACGGTGCTGCCATGGGGGGGGAGGGGGTCTCAAATCCCCCTCCCGAAACGAGGGGGGGAGGGAGGGTTCTGGACCCCCCCTGAAGACTTACTCAAGAGGTTTGAGGCTGACGCCATTCCGGCGACCCCCAGAAGGGATAGTTCGCGACGATCGCGGACACCGTCCTGATCGCTCGAGGCTGAGTACATGGGCCCATCCGGGGTTCCTTGGGACCGTCGGTCCTGCGCGGGGCATGCTGCAGAGTGTCGACGGCGTGGGAGGCACGAGGGCGAGCTCGTCGACCGTTTCTCCAACAGGACTCTGGGCTTCTAGGGCGGAGGAATCGCGGGGAGCGTGGGGTCGAACAGGTCGCGGACTTGCCCCTGCTCTCCCGGATCCCACCAGGAAGGAGGGAGCGGGGGAGATGGGGGGGAGAGAAGGCACAGAGAAAGCAGGATGGAACCAGAGGAGGATGAGGAGGGTAATGAATGACGAGGGGGAGGGACGCACGGAGGGGATCAGGAGGAGTGGCAAGAGCATGGGTGCGAGGGAGAGGAGGTAAGGAGTCAAGGACGGGGGAAAGGAAGCAGAAAGGAGAGGACGGAGGCACGAACAATTTGCACTAGTCATTTCGATGTTTGGTATATTGTTTGGTCCTTGCTGATGCCGTTGCCTGCCCCGACCCCACGCTCCCCATAATCATTTGGCTCCGAGGGGGCCCCCTTGAGGTGCTACGCAGACATCCTTACTTACCGTGGCGGGATGGACTCGGAGTACAAGATTCACGTAGACCCAGCGCCAGAGTGCGCGCTGGAGCGCAAACCTCATGTATTTGTAAGCGTCCCACGGCCCCGCAGGAGGAATTCAGACAACGCGATCCGGGGACGGTAATTGGGCCCTTTTCGGCTCCCCCCGTCGCGCGGACTTCAAATTGAAGCAGAAAGCAGGATTGTAACATTGGAGACTTGAAACTGGAACTGGTGCAGGGACTTTGAGGGTAGCTCTTTGGGAGATGTTATAGTATCGGGAGCATAGCTCGCGCGCCGCTGCCTTGGGCTCAAGGCACGCGCGCCCTATTTGCCCGGACACTGCTTGTGTTCGCTATGTGCTGGAAAGATCATTACATCGATCTTATCCTATCTTACCCATCCACCCCTCATACTGTACTCACAGCAGAGCGATGGATGCTATTTGCCAGGCTATATGCCCTATTTGAGTTACCAGGCTCACTTTCGACTTGGTAGCGGAGCTGGCCGCACTCTCGTGTGGTCAGCTCTTGCTCTTCTCAGCCTCATATTCTTCGGCACGATCTTCGTGACCACCTACCGCCCTGCGCCACCACTCCCAGTACGTTTACGAGGATCTATTCAAGAGCAAGAAGCTACACGAGAGGTACGACGTCTAGACGACCAGATTGGTACCATATACGCTTCATCATTGCGTTACTATCAACCGCTCGGCAACGAGCCAATAACGCAATACCTGAAGCAAGGGCGGGGAAACCCGCCAGACAGAGCGCCTCGAAGACTCGACAAGGCGCTACCCCAGCGTGACACCGCTCATCATAACCATTCTTCGTTACACATTCTCGGGCTAGTCGTTTTCGCTATAATATGGTTCGCGCTGGGGGCAGCAATCGCACACATGCGTCGGGGAGATAACAGCACCGATGGGCAAACACATGGCCCATATTGGGACCCTCAGGGTAATGTACCCTTTCGTGAGTACATTTACGAGGTCAACGCGTGGCTCAACGTTACAAGCGGACGTATGACGCCACAGGCCCAAGCGGCTGCAATACAACGCGGCCTGGGAGGCCTAGCGAGGACACTCGCCATGAGGGTACCGCCTGACATCATAAACTATGGTGCTGATATCGACGGGGTCCACACAGACCCAGTAACTTATATCATGTTTCTCCTCAGCATGAAATTCGAACGCCTGGAAGATGAGCGACAGCTCACTTCCGGCACACAACTTATTGACTTCCATGTGCCTCACGGGGAACGAATCGATGTTACTCTTACCCGATTCGAAATGGCCTGACTTGAGGCACAGTCGGCGGGACTCGACCTTCCCAACTTCCAACTGTTAACTACTATCCTATTCCGCGCCCTAGGCGTCGGCAACCAGAAGGCCACGCAACTCTTATAGCCACTCAATCACCAAATGCCTCGAACACAACAACAGTATGATGAGTTGCTGGAGAGGATGCGTTCGGTAGGCCACCTATCCGAACGATCTCCTGGTAACATAGGATCCGTGTTTGGAAGAGGAAGGGGATCTGGTAGTGGAAATTTCTACACTACCTTGACCACTGAAGCCCAGCCTGGAAACGGGCCCTCAAACATATGGGCCGACGATTCAGGAGAAGCCACTGCTTTACTAGCAGGGGATCGATCACAACCAAGCTGGGCAACCAGCCCTCCTTCTAGAGAACCACAACCCCACCGCTCGTTATGGGGGGAATCAAATCCCCTAACCGACGGTGTATCCACCTATTTAGGAGACGAAGATTTCGACTCTGGCACCGATACAGACACTATATCATCAGATGGTGTTGAAGCTCTAGATTGGTCAGATATCATGAATATGGATAACGATAATCAGCGTGCTGAGCATTTATTCTGGCTGTTACAACAGGCTAAACGAAGGTGGAGGAGGCTCACACGAAAACCAGTGCGTCGTGTTAGAAGGAGGATACGCAGAAGTTTTAAAGGAAAGGGTAAAGGCAAGCGTGGTCGTCGGAGGTTGAACGGGCGAGGTATCGCGGCATTTCTCCAGAGGCTCTCAGATGAACAACATGATGAGATATTCTTTGGGAAAAGGCCGTGGTAAAGGCCGTAGAGAGACCTCAGGTAAAGGTAAAGGTAGGCGGGGAAACCCGCGAGGTAGAGACGGCCAGGTTCTCAAATGCCATGAATGTGGTAGTACCGATCATCTTGTGCGAGATTGCCCAGCGAAGGGAAATGGAAAGGGCATGTCGTCCGAAGTCCATTTCGGCTCAAGCGCACCATCCATTGAGTATCTGAGCCTCCAGGACTTTGAGGCTATGGAACAGATATGTTTCACATGGGTCGTTGGCATGGACAACGTTGACGAGCTCGAGGGGTATGGTCATGGATTATACGCGCACTACCTCGAGTACGTCCGCCGGCTCGTCACGGGCAGTAATGAACTCACTCCCGCGGAACACGGTACGCTCGGAAACGAGTCTCTCTCTTTCTTCGACTGGATGTTCGGGAACCCAGGTAACATCATGGCCTACGAGAGCGACGACGAGGACACCACTATAGAGGCTTCGCCTTCCGAGGTTCAACGGAACCTCGAACCTCCGCCCGAAATCCCGCCTGGACACAGGCCTTTTCTGCTGGGAGAATATCCCCATACTATTGAAGACTTAATTGAAATGGAGTCTCAAGCATTTGTTCAGGCCTTCATTGCAGGCGACCAGGTTCTCCGTTCATACCTCCTGGTTCGCTTGCTCCAGGCGAATATGGACCGCGTACACTTTTGCAGACCCTCATGTGGATGCATGAGATACTTGCAATTGCATATCCTGAGAGTCAAGAACAAATTGAAGCTAGTATTATGACAGAACAGGATAATGATGCTTGCGGTAGCTCAGAGCTACTCTTGGCAGCTTTGACTCTCATTGACAGTATAAATCCTCAGGAAGTGCAGAGACACTTGATATACTCCCATGGTAGATGGCGTCGTGCCCTGGAAATGGCAATGGCTATGCGTGGTCATGATCTTCCCCCGCCAGGATGGAATCTCCAGGAGCTGGGGATGAGACCAAACCATCCGGCCATGCGTAACATTGCTAGGCAGCCTATGCTCGTCGATGACCCTGAGCCGACGACTGTGCCTCCTACTCCAGGACAGCCGAGCGACGCCCAGACGCCGGCCATGCAGGGAAACCTGCCTTTACCAGATGCGCCAATGGCCATCATAATTGGTAGTTCGACATCAGAAGAAGTAGAAGGCGATGGTTGTGGGTTGATGAGGATGACGTCACCATCCTCATGATGGACGTGACTGGTGAGGAAGAGGTCGATTTCGACCCTGATGAGTCTGAATCATCATCACCATCGGCACAAGAGCCACTTGCGCCGAGCTCCACCCAGCAGGGAGACCTGCCTCCATCGAGCGATCCATCTGGGATCGCAGAGGAGCCTCCTCAAGCACCTCCAACGGGTGCCGCCCCTGCTGCATCGGCAGCTTCTTCTGATGAGAACACCAGAAGATCTCGTTCCCATACGCGCGTCAGAGAAGAGCCACATCCCCAGGCTCGACTTCCTCGTGAGTGGAGACAGGCTGGCCCAAAGGAACACGCTCTCCGAAGAGGTGGCCAGCTACTTCCGCACAACGACCCACGACGCCGAAAAGGGGAACACTCGGCCTTCGGCCGGGGCAATCCTGCCTATAGGGACGGCGATGGCAGGCCCATCCGTGGAGGCTATCAGCTTGCAACAAACATCCGCCGCCCTGAAATTCAAGAAGCGCGGACCCAGTTGTGAGATATTATCGCGGCTCGCAAGCAGTATAGGCCTCACGCTGCATGCGGTCCTTGTTCCCAGCCGTTCCAGAATCACAGGCCAGGATGCCCCGTTG